TTTTGTATTCATATTCTAGTTAATCTAAGCTATAAATCAATATAAATTTTTATTTTTATTATTATGTAGGATTTTGAATAAATTTGAGAAACAAAAATTGATATTGCGATTTTCGTCGAATTTCGGATTATTTTAATTAAAATTTTTCTAGACGTTTTAAGAGTATCAAAGTTTACATGCATATTCATCAAAACCTAAGCTACATTTTGATAAAATCTTATGTGTAGTTATTATGCGTGTTTTTGTATAATTAGTAAAACAGGTGTCCGGATACTTTTGTCCAGGGAGTGTATATACCCTTAAATAGTGGTGTATTGATTAAAGCTCCGAATGGTTAGGCTCAAACCAAAGAATTTCTGTTCCTAAAAAGTCAAACAGAGTCTTTAGGCTAAAAGCTACCCTGGTATTCTAATTTTTGCATTCTGCTTATTTAGAATTAAATTTATTATAACGACCAGTGTCCCTGTTGGACAAGTTTTTTCTGGAGGAACAAACTTTAATTATTTAAATATCACAAATTTTTAGGTACACAGTGAATTTCGATTTAGCGGATGTCTAATAAAAATCTCGATTTAACGGATTGAGGTTCAGAACTGGGCTGCATTTTTATATAGTAAATTTTAGTATTCCATTTCGCAATATAAAAAAGGAAACAAAATAGTCGTAAAGGTGGTAGCAATCATCATCAAAAGTTGCAGCCGGTATCCTTAATACATTTTCTCGATATAACAGATGTACTAATTAAAACTCGATTTAACGGATTTTTGAAAAATTTTCAAAATTATCCGCTAAATCGATCTACTACTACATAATTCCACATAGGTTTGCTTAGACAAGTTCCGCATATTTTTATTAATAAATCATGTATGTGGAAACCCATCAGGAAAATAAATCTCATGTAAACCTACGTAGGGTTTAAAACTGACCAGCATTATGCGGAAATGTTAACAGAATTACCAAAATATCGGCATAATGCTGGCCAATTCTGAACCCTACGTAGGTTTATGTAAGATTTATTTTCCTGATGCCTGCAGTCAGATTTTTTTTTGATAATGACACAGTTATATGTAATTTGAGGTGGTGGACCTTTACAGATTAGAAGCATACCAATATTTGCTTAATGAAATTTTGCGATATTTAAGATATCTTTGATTGTTTTAAAAAAACAACATTTTGAAAATGATTTTCGTGTCATATCATATTGACGACTTTTTTTCTACACCAAAACATTAGAATTACAAACTTTGTTGAATTGTTTATTATTATTTATTATATTATAAATAAAATAACAAAAATACGTTATAAAAATATTAATATTCAATATTAAAAATTAAAATACATGATAAAGATTATTTAATAATACACTATTACAAATTAAATGATTTTATAAATAAGCCTTATTAAACATAGCAACAGCCTGCCACACAGCAATAACCGGTGTACCCATTTACGAGTGGGCAACAATAAGTCGAACAGCAATATGAATAAGTATATTTTCTGCAGTATCCTCCTGGACAATAACTACCTGGAGTCTGAGTGTCAGCAACTGTACTATTTGGAGAAAGAGTTGTTCCAGGTTTCGTTTCCTTTGCTGGAGGATCCTCGAGCGGTACACCGAAAGGTGTCAAAAAGTTAAATGACATAATAGCGAACACAAAGATGAGGACAATAAAATTTTTCATGATTTTAAATAAATATTATGTAGTGGGAAAAGTAAGACGTGAACAATTTAATTTTAATTGATTAATTTTTAATCGTAAAATGAAAAAAAATTTTTTTTTTTTTTTTTTTTCAAAAAATCAGATGAATATGTTTTTGCAGTGATTTATATAGCTATCAATTCAATCAACCTATATAAAAATGATATTTCCATAATAATAATAACTATTATTTATATTTATAAATAAATATCCAATTCATCAAGTTTACCTGTGTAATTAGTATCGGTATTATAAATTCCGGCAAGAGTAGAGATAGGAACTGTTTTGTATATTAATAGCCAGCATTCATTGATTTTAAACTTGTAAATGATCGTCGCATTGTCATGTGTTTCAGTAAAGAAATAATTATCCTTTGTATATTTGGGAACAAATATTAACTTCATTTAGTTAAATGAAAATTTCTAAATTTAAACTATATTTGGGTGACACTACTACATTTACCCATTTTTATCTATATATATGTAGTGCATGTTCACCCAAATGCGGCTTAAAATTTAAAAACTTTCTATATAGGGTTTTGTTTGCACTAATCGTTTCACCATTGTTTACTTTTTATAGTAATAGTATAATGTGGTGCATTTCGAAAAATCCGTGTAACATATTATACTAATACATAATAAATAGGGATGGTCTTTCCAAATCGAGACGACCATTTATTGCTCGGTCCAATGTTATTTAGTTGAACTTTAAGCTGATAGATCTCAGACTCTGTGCAATAAAATTTAATCATCAGTTGATATCTTTATTAAGGTAAACAAAATGTCGATTGATCTTTTCAAACTCCTGAATACCTTTTTTTGGGAATAGAAATAAGTAACACGGCTTTAAATTCATTTTTTCTAAATCAAAAATTTTCCGTGTGTGTAATTATTGCATGTAATTAATTAAGATAATTTTAAATTCGTTGTCTTACAATAGATATAAATATTTATTGATAAAAACCAAGATTGTAGTTCAATTGTGCCATTTTTCACATAAAAGGAATTTATATGTTTTACGAAAATGATTGTGTTATATAAAAGACTCAATTTAGTACAAGCCAAAGAAAGTTCTCATTAGAATATTATGATCATATGAAGATGTTGATGTAGCGATGGAGGTGTAGATATAGAATGTAGAATTCATGTGTCACTAAACTAAAAGGTTTGAGAAGGATAGATTTAATTTTATTTTGAGATTTTGCATTAATTTATTATAAACATTCCAAAAAAAAAACTATTCCCTATATAGAAATAAACAAAGACTTGCATGATTTTGTTTATTCAGTGTCAAAAATGACGGTTATTTGTATTACCAAATACCTGGTTTAAAAATGGGAGATATAAAAAAATTTGGTTTGATAAAAATTTTTTTGTTGTTTCACTGAATAATTTACACATTTTAAATTCGATCATCCAATTGAAGATCTCTAAAGCAAGCTTTAAATATTAAAAAGTTATAAACCGTAATGCTTGAGATAATCATTATAAAACTAATTATAAGTAATTTATTTTTCTATGACGTTTAAGTAAAAAAGGATTTATATATGTTTTTTAAAAAAATAATGCGATGTCCGTCCATTTGTAATATAAATAATGAATTTAATATCAGTATATTAACGTTAAATATTAATTAGTATTAGTGTGGGATTCGACTGATGGAATCGACGTTAATATTAACGAAATTTTATATGTATTGATTATTAGATAATTCCAACATTGAATTTGAAGAATTGACGATATGTGAGATTAAGATGTTTATTTATTTCTAGAGAATTGTTTAAACAATATTTCGATATAAAAAATATTGTACTAATATTTTTAAAACTCTAGAAACCTTGAAATAATTATAAACATTGTTCGTTTCTTTTTTTTTAATGATTTTTTAACTAGAACCATCATTGGTTTCATTTTCATCCAATAAGTTGCTTTGTTTATCTTGCTTGACCTATCAAGTTATTAATTCCCCCATTATCTTTCTTGAAACAATCCTTTATTGCCATATGCTTCATTTAATTTGTGATTTGCTAGAAACAGTTTATATCCATCACATCTAAAGTTTTGTTTGCCGAAACTTTTTAGCGAATGCTAAAACCTTACCAAAACTCCAATAAACAATTAATGTATACCTTGCCGAAACTTTAATAAAAAAATTAGCGTGCAACCTGTCGAAACTCTGCCTATTGATTCCTGAAGGAGTTTGGAAAGCAACCATGATCACATCCTAAATATATCGTTATAATTGTCTTTTGGTATCCTCAATTTTTAACAGTCAAGCACAACCTTTAAAATTAGTTCAAGACTATGGGTTGAAAATACAATCTTTAAATAAATTCATTCATAATAAATTTAATTATTTCATTTTGTAAAAGCTACTTCTTTGTTATCTATTTATTGTTTGTTTATGTATTCATTGCATGTATGTAGATCGAAATTATATATGGAAATTACTATGTGTGAGTACTAGTCCGCCAAATTGGTCGGGATCAAATGATTTGAGATGTAGAATTTTTTAGCTACAGACATAAGAATAATGTTAACAAAAACTTGAAACTTCCCTTTATTTAATTATTTTAATTTTTATAGTCAGGAGTGCATAATAAAACTTTTTTAGTAATCAAAAAAAAAAAAAAGATCAAGGAAACCGTCGCCTAATTTTAAAATATTGGTTATAAATTACTTTTCAATAGAGGTTTATTTGGTAGTCATGCAGATAGAATTTTGAATTTCAAGATTTTTTATAATCATGCAGATAGAATTTGATAGAATTTGAATTTAAAATTTTTTTGTTAGGATATCCCTATCCATCTATAATTGATCTATATAGCTTTGATAACGTATTTGTTAATAATATTTTGATGGTCGTGTAACAATTCAGTTAAACGATTGGGCGTTTGTACAGTATTATAATGTATAATGTATTTTTTTTATTAAAGAAGAATGCCTAGTGTACAATTTTATATATATATATTATTTATTTAGTATGAAAAGGCGATATCTCTATCGCAAATACAATTCAACAAGAGCATAAGGCCAAAAGAGAACAGGCCGAAGATATTGTAATTAGTGGTAATAATGCCTTTCCAATTATTGCAATTAATGATCAAGATGAGTTGGTTGTGGAAAATGAGACAAGTGAAATAGATGAATTTTCTTTAAGAAGGTTACGTAACTACAAAAGAAGATTTATTGTAAAATCTGTGGGATATGCATTTCAATAGATAGAAATGAAATGGTAAGGTTTTTGTCAACAAATCATATTCATCCAGCAATAGATATTGAAGTTAAATGAAATGTAGGTTAATATGTTTATTAGTGAATTAGAGACGCTATTTTTCTATTATTAGAATTGCTAATGAATGACAAATGATAATAAAATAAAATAAAATAAATATTTGATATTCACTATTACTATAGTTGTTTTGCCAGAATTGTTTTGGAGGAAAGTGATTATGGTAAAAACTAAATATTAATATTAATATTAGTATGTCATTCGACTAATTATGACATTACACAGATACTATTTCATTTAATTAACGGTAACTAGGGGTATATTAAAAATATTGTGCTTATTATTATGTAGTGTTCGGTTCATTTGTTCCGGAAAAAAAATCAAAATTTAGAATGAACTTGAATTTAGTAATAATGAATTATAAAATTTCGTGTGAATTTAATAATAATCATCTGCAACAAATATTTTGCAAATGTTTATTTTATTTTATCTTTTTTATCAATGCAAAATATTGTTAATTTCATTTATTTTTAGAATTCACTTTATACGCATTAAAATACATAGTTTAATAATTATGAATCGTGATCAATTTTTTCCCCACCTTTAAATTTTTAATTTAATAAAAGTTGCACATATGTACAAGTGAGCGACTACTTTAAATTGAGTATTTTTAAGCATACATGTTCGTATTAGTATGTGTGTTGTTTGTTCTTTAGTTTGGTGTTGTGTCCAACCCAGCATAATTTTTTGGTTTTGCTTCTCGAGTAGTCAAGAAGCCAATTGCGTAAATACAAATAATAATAAATTTAGTGATGTTTATTAAATAGATAAACAAGATATATCAAACTTGAATGAAAATTTATTTGAAAAGAATAAAGATCCAAAATTATGGCAGACACTGTCGGGTAAAATAAAATAAATTCAAGATACCAACAACATTAAAAGAACAAATTTTGATGCATTAGAAAAGCATGAAATATTACATATTTTAGAACATCCATCATTAAATCTGAATGAACCTTTCTCTCTACAAAAAAAAAATTAACCTTCTGGCTTCATATTTATGTAGTTTTCATGGAGGGGATCTAAAAGACTCAAAGATTCTTAGGTAATGTTATAATGGTTGTCAAGAGTATATAGCTGCATCACTTCCCAGGTAAAAGTATCGTATTGGTGGTCTTGGTAACATGGATAATAATGGACGGATTTGCGAAATATCAAACAATGCCGACAGTAAATTTCAACCTGTACAAGACATAATAATACATTATAAAAACAGAAGGACAGCTCATTGTGGATGTCAAGTGTTTTTCTTAAAATGGAAAATAAAGTTAACATTTAAAAAAGAAAATGTTTTTCAAATACAAAAATTTACTTGATAATTTAATTAAACAAATCTGTAAAGATTGTGACATTGATCTTGGTGAACAACACATAATCAACTATTCTATGAGAACAATTGTCATAATGCAATTAACAACTTTAGGTGTTTCTGCTAATGAAATTATGGCATATAGTGGATACCGTTCACCTGCTGGTTTAAATTCTTATCAAACTATTCCTAAAAATCAGATGCTTAGCAATGTATCGTCTTTAATTCATTCAGAATTATGTAATGAAGAGGGTGATTATTGACAGATAATATTGGGGTTTTTTATAAAGTTTGGTTAACTTTATGGTTTAAGGTAAGTTTACTTTATAAAAATAATAGAACCTCTTTTAGAAAAGTTAATAGAAATGGTCATCTAAGTTAAGAACTAAATATCTGATAATTTAAATTCCTTCTGAACGACAATTTTCTCCAAATAACAAAAAAACAAAATTCTACCGATTTAGAAATTAGATTAGTAAAAAATCATATTGATTATTTTTATTTTTTTGGAAAATATTATAATTAACAAAACAAATTATTTTGATATGTAAAAGTAATCGTTGTGTCGACGATGATGGTTCATCACTATTATCATCATTATCGTCATCATCATTATTATTCCGGATTAATGATCTTATTTCTTCAAGGTCGGATTTTAAATTTACCATATTAAAATAAATGATGACGATGTCAATGATGTCGATTTTGATGAATTCCTCGCTGCTACTACTGTGAAAATATTACAACGGAGATAAGATATTCATTAAAAATAGTTATGTTTAGAATAGCTAGTTGGGGATGACTGAAATTAGGCAGAATGTGAAAATATAAAAGAGCTATGTTAGTTTCATTGGTGTCTATTTTATAACAAAGCAAATCTTTTCGCACACGGGAATTATTTTCAGAACATAAATAAATATTCTAAACAATATTCATATCTCTTCTACTTGTTGATGTTTCTCTTCTTTCTTCTTTTTTTCCTTAGTCATTGACGTGACGAAAGTACTTTTTCCCATCAAGGGCCATTTTGACGATTGACGAGAGTAAATATTGTTGTTGATGTAAAAATTAAAACAAGTATCTATTTTACATGGCAATAATAATAATAAATTTAGTCATTATTTTATTGATTAAAATGTAGTTTACATATTTTTATGATTTTTTTTTCATTATTATCATCTTCGATAAGAATTGTTCCATGATCATTGCCAATATCATCATCATCATCATCATCATCATTATAATCATTGATTATCATCATTATCATTATTAGACACAGAATTCCATGTTATTTAACTTCAGCTTCGTCCAATTCATTCGTCATCATATTTTATAGACCTTCTCACCACTTCCACTCTTTGACTGAGAATATAATATTTTTGTAAAAAAAAATTCAAATTGATGTTGTGGCGCAGAAAGTTCGTCGACTAAGTAACTTTGCAATCATTTTAATAACTATGCAATATTTTCCCAAAAGTTTAATTAAAATGACAAAAGGTTTTTTTATTTATTACAATGTGTGCGCATTTGGAGCTGTTCGTCACACCAAGGCACGTTTTTATTAAAATGTTGTGCGTCAATTCCGTGTGTCAATTTAAATAAACTAGTGTTGGTCGCCCAAACTATTTTAAAGAGGGAAAGTCAAGACTAAAATTAAAAGTTACATGTCAAAACTAAATCAAAAGTCAAAAGTCAAATCTAGTTCCGACTTATGGCGAAACCTTTTGACTTTCGCATAATTGCAAAACTCTCTAGTTTTGGAAACCAAACACTAAAATAAACCAATCGTAATTCTTCATACATACATTTGATACAGATTTGATTAATTTTTGTAATAAATATAAAAGTTTCAAAAAAATTTCAGGATCGCAAATAAAACAAGATATTGCAGTAAGCAGGGAGCAGTGGACTAACCCCAAAAAAAGGTCATCGTAATTATGGTTGATAAACAATAACTTAATATTAATTGATTTAATAATATAAATAGATGCGCGTTGAATAATGATAATAAATACAAAATAATTTGAATAATATTCATAACATGAATTAATTCAATAACAAATTCAATTGGAATAAATTAAAGTCACTCGCTAATTTTACTAAAGGACAACCATCCATATTTGATTTTCATTTTTGTATCATTAGTGTAAAATAGCTGGCAGTTTTTAAATCAAGTATTTTAGTTAATATATCTTTCCGAAACAAGAATCTTGATCCGTACAATAGTCATCAATTTCTTCCTTATTCGTGACGTTGCTGCATGATCACGAAGTGCTGAGCGACTTGAAAAGGTTCTTGTGTAATAATACACTTCAACATCATAAGTAATAATTCTATTGATATTAAAATAAACAATAATAATTAAATAACGGTCTATCTAATAAACAAATTAATGATTCTCTATTTAAATAAAATAATGATGGTCAAGTAGGTAATTAATATTTAAATCTGATTTAGGCTGTGTGGTATCATATGTGATGGTTTTTTCTTTTCATTCTTTTCAACTTCTCTAATAAAGGTAACAAGCTTGGATTTCTTATTTCGGCCAAACTAGCTTAACAAGAGTTGATGCCATGGTGTGCTTTTTGACTATATAAATTTTTTGTTTGGAAATACGAGTTAGTATGTGGAAAAGTGTCAATTAATTAGCGACGGTTTTATTGTAAGCCCATATTTATTTCATAATGTTTTTAGCAAGACTCATTTACACAGTTAAAGAAATGATTTCTTTTTCTTTTTTAAAAATAATTGCATATATAATTGGTAGGACAAAGTTAATTAACAGTTATCTTTACGTATGTTTTATCAGCGATTCGTATTAAGCGAGGTTACTATGTTTGCCGTGTGAAACAAGTATTTTGATGTTTCTCACCTTTAATGATAACTGGAAAAAGGACCAAATAAAGGAATGGGAAAAAATTATGCTAAAATTAAAATGGCATAGGATGAATTGTACATGCGCGAACTACTCTGAATGTGCTATGAATTCAAGCCATCTTAGAAATAATCATTGATGTCACCAAAGCCAGCGCTTTACACGATTGCAGAACAGCGAGAAGCATAATAATATTACTATTATTGATGTTATTTGGTGGTCATTTTAAAAAAATAATGTAATACCTCAATGCCTTTTATCATGCTGCTTGATAAAATGTAAATTAAATTATTTATAGAGTTATTAATGATTGACATATACAGCAAATACATTATTGCATTGTGCAATGCCACGTTGATTTTCAATGCCATTATCACTTTTTTGGTATTAAAAACAGGAACGTTGTTCCATGCTATTTGGCGCCTCCAAAAATTTCCTGATGTTTGTTCATATGATACTTGCTCATTCAACACATTCACCATTGACCAATAACATACCGTTATTCCTTCATTTCCAGTAGACTTAAGTATGCTGGCTCCTTTACACTATTAATATTGTAATTGTATTTTCTAATGTTGCCATACTACTTTTTTTTGGTGGTTAAAAATAAATTCATGCTTGAAACATACACTTCTCATCTAACTTCAAATTACTTTAAACAGAACCTGAGTTTTCTATTGATATAAATATAACCAATCCAGATCTCATTAAAATCCAAATCATCATGGACTTACTAGTACTAATTGTGGATGTGAAAAGATTTCATGAAACTTTGCTAACATCATTACCTTTGCCTCTAATATTGATGAGTGCATTTATATGTGTATGTGTGTAAATTAATATTTTATGATTTATAATTGTATTTTTAGGTGATAATATTAATATTAATTTTTTAAAGTTGAAAGAGTAATTTCAGGAGAAAAATTTCTTAGCCATTTATTCTCCAAAATTTACCTGATGATAATTGATTTATTTATTCAAACAAATCTTATACTATATGATCCAATAAATAAATAAAATGGAAGTATACAGATTAGTTATAATATTTTTCTCTATATCGCTTTCTACATCACACTCCATGAATATATACATGTACAAAAAATAAAAAACCTGGACCATTCTCCCTTAACAAAGCTATTTCTTCCTCGACCTTATTTCAAGACAATTATGATAATTATGGAATGATAGATGAATTCATCAACAATATCCCACAACCATGGATTTGATTTGGTAATTCCAAATTAACTGGCCCAGTAACAAGAAATGTACTTAATGTGATTATTTATCAAAGATCTTTTTTGTCAAAATAATCATCAATCAATAATCACTCGTTCAATATATAGTTGAAAAGATCACAATGATTTTCATAAGAATAAAATCTGTGTCCAATAGTTGGTGCAAGTTTCTGATGACAATATAATTAATTCATGATACAACATTAAAATAATTGATTGATTGATCTATGAAAATTTGATTAAAGAAATTAGAATGATGAATATTTTTAAAGATCAAACAAAAGATTTTGCTTACCGTCATCATTCAATTAGCTCGACATCACGCCAAAAGGTTTCAGAATATATTTTTCTGTCAATTGATTAAAGGGCATTTTCATATATACTATGCAATTCATGAATTTTATTTTCCAAAACGTTTATATGAAAATATATAACGAAATTTTTAATAATATCTGACATTTCTTCGTATTAATTTTGCATCATTTGATCTTACAATACTGAATTAATTAACATATATTAATGTAAAATTGACTAATAAAAAATTTTCATGTATACATATATATACCTTTACCGTCTAATTCATCGTCAAATACAACATAAACCTTGTTATTTATAGCGGCTTCAACATCAAAAACTAAATCTACTCTTCTGATCCCTCGTGATACATTTATTGAAGATGATAAATTTTTTTTTAAGATCATCATTTATCTCGAATTAGATCACAAATATTAATATTAACAAAAGATGACAATAGATCGTAGGCGTATTCAAGGACCAGAATTAAGCGTTGCTCCAGTGATAATAAAATCTCCAAGCGATAAAAAATCAAACGCTTTAGTAGATGAGAATGGTAATAGGCTTGATGGAAGAGATTTAGAAGATATTCGAAAAATTTGTATGCATTTTAAAATTTCTTCAGTGATTCATTATATGTATGTGTTTAAAACAAAAGAAATAATATATGATTTTTAGATTTAAAAACCGGTTTAATAAGTCAAGCTAATGGTTCAGCATACATAGAACTAAATCAAACTAAAATTGCTTGTGGTGTGTAAGTTTTTTTCACTGCTACTTTATTTATAAAAAGCCACTTTAATTGTTATTCAATGCAAAATAATTTAAATTCTTAAAATTTTTATAGTTATGGTCCACGTCAAACAAAATTTCCATTGTTTAGTGGGAAAGGAACCTTAAATTGTGAATTGAAATTTGCACCATTTTCATGTTTGAAGCGTCGACAGCCTTATCGTGTAAGATTAATAAATTATTAAGTTGAAAATATGGATTTATTAATATTTTTTAATTGATATATATCATATCTTTCTTTCTATTTTATTAATTATATAACTTAGGATGTACAAGAAAGAGATCTTTCACAATTAATTTTTGATGCATTATCACCATCTGTAAGACTTGAATTATTACCAAAATCAACAATAGATATATTTATAAACGTGTTGGAAAATGATGGAACTACATCTTGTTTAGCTGCTGCTATAACATGTGCTTCGGTAGCTTTGGCGGATGCAGGGATTGAAATGTTGGATTTGGTTGCTGCTTGTTCTGCAGTAAGAGTTAAAAATATCTTTTTTACATCATCATATTTATTATAAAAAGACTTATTTATTTTTCTAAAAAAATAAAAATATTTATATACAAAGTCATTTATTGGAGGACGAATTTTTATAGATAGTAATCTGATGGAAGAACAACATGAAACAGGTTCTTTGATATTATCATATATGCCATCATTAAATGAGGTAACACACATTCTACAATCAGGTGAAGTGGATTTTACACTTACAACACAAGTAGGTTCTTTCTTTTTTGTGTTGAATCTTCAAATTCCTTGATTCTTTAATTAACTTTAAAACATTTATTATTTTACACGCACAAAGGCTATTGAACAATGTACTGATGCATGCAACAATATCTATTCAGTGATGAATAATAGTCTTATGGAATCTGTTAAAAATAAACTTAATTAATAAACTTAATTAGATCAACCAATCAATCAATCAATATTTGATTGCATACGTTATATATTTTATAAAATTATATACTCCAATTAGGGTTCTGCATACCCGACACATGCCTGTTCTTAACAAAAAATTTAGGGCACAGGCATGGGAATGGGCATGGGCACCAGGAGCTGTTGGCACCATGCCAGGTACTAGTACCACTGCCAAAGTGCCGCCATTTTTTATTTATTTTGCACCAATTCTTCTGCCCGTGCTTCAACATTTTAGGCATGTCTGCTGAATATTTTATAGTTTAAATAAATTTATAAACGCAACTCTTTTCTATTGTATTAATATTGACGTTTTATATAATAAAACATTTCTAAATAAAAGAACTCTCAAATATTTCACTATTGTGTTTGCTTTTTGATGGGAGATCTAATAAAAATATACTCTGACGACTTTATTTCAAATATCTCACATGAAAATAGTATAACAGAAATAATTGATATAATACTAAAAAACATTGGACAGAGGTATTGCGTGATAATCGAAATGCCTGGCAATGTCTGTATTGTCAAGCAAAACGCACTTAAAAAAAATGTACATTCACAACTTAAAGAAATTCAGAAAAAATCTAATCCTCTTAACGATCTGCTAGAAATACTTAAGTAATAAATAGGTTCTATGCCAGGCACCATTGGCACCATGCCTAGCACTAGTGCCAGTGCCAATACTGGTACCCAGTGTCCAGCTTTTTTTATTAGGCACCGGCTAATATCACAAATCCTTGTATGGTTTTTAAATATTCAGTATTGGTGTGATTGATTCTCCATCATAAATTGTGCCCATCGTCATCATGATGTTGTGGGAGTAGTTTTCCTTATTGAAAGCATGAAATTCATTGGGAGCTAACCAAATTTGCAGCAATATCTAAAATAATTTCCATCCATGAACTATAAAATATTATAAGGCTTTTTCAAGTTAAAAAAATTTACCATTTATTGTCACCAATATCATTTGAATAAAATCAAATTTAAAACGTTTGATTTCAACATTTAATTATTACAACCAAAAAGTTGGCTTCTTCTATTATATCTTTTATTTACTATTATCTGATTTTTTTGGTTATCATTGTAATAGAAAGAAGGAAAAAGAAGACGTAATAATCTTTGAGGTAAATACTCATTTTAATTATGATTAAAAGTGATATCCATTATTATTTAATCTGCCATTAATAAAAAGATCTGCAAAACTTCATGCTCATAATATACCTTGTTATTTTCACAAAAAATAATCAATTTATATTTAGACATTACAATCTTAATTGTCTAAATTAACTAATTTATATTTAAATATTCTCAAAATGTGTTAATTTAGATCCCATCTAATATATATCACCCACCTAAGGAGCAGGTAGTCAATATAAATTTAAGTAAGAACTATTTAAATTAGAAGTTGATCTTGAGGGAGTTTGTTTGTTTTTAACTAAAGCACAGTACATTGTAGTGCCAAGTATTTTTAAAGGCAAACTATAAGGGATGATGTGAATGATGATTAAAATTTTTCATGAGAAGTAAATATTGGATATAAGATTTTTGATTAGGAATTACTACTACAAGATTTACAGGCAGAGCATAGTCAAGTTTTGATTGGGGTAAATGTTGTAGTAATTTATTGATTTGTGTACATTTAGAAGATAACTAATTTGAGATTTGCAAGGTAATTGATTTTGACCATGTGATTGAGGATTAGATTGATATGGGAATAAGTGAGTGATGTTTTAGTGGGAATTACAGTAAGGAATAATGTAGGATAATTATATATATCAAATTTTTATTATGAGGTAAGTATTGAAGATTTCAAGTTTGAATGAGAATAATGATCCATGTTAGAAACATAAATTATTTTCTATATCTTTACACAACTTTTATAATGGTAGAACATTAATTTAAACAAGCAGATAATAATACCATGTGATAAACTGAAAAAAATTACATTCTTTCTTTTATATCTTAGATAATATTTTAATTAGTAAATCCATCTAATTTTATAATTTATCTAAATATCCAAATTCATTTGATTAGAATCTAAAAATAATGATTATAAGTATATAAGTATATTAATATAGGCAATTTTAATATTAAAAAATTATGATCAAAATTAAATAATAATAATTACCACCATTATTTCCAATGATTGTAACTTTATTGGAGTTTACAGGCTGAGGAAGATT